CGTATTCAATGCTTTATATAAAAGGCTTTTGTTTGGTGATGGCAGCTTAAAGATGCCTCTCATATGGAGATTGAAGTCACATGCTTTGCGCAGGTGTGAGTTTCTCACAGATGTCAACAGAGGGTAAAAATCCTAATGGTTCTGTGGGTCTCCCCTGTCAAATCTGAGCTTTAATTTGTATTTTTTATTGGATTCAAGTCAGGGGATTGGCTGGGCCATTCTACAGCTTGATTTTCTTTCTCTGAAAGTAAGTTTGTTCAACTATGTTTTGGATCATTGTCTTGCAGAAATGTCCACTCTGGTTTCATCTTCATCCTGCTAATGTAGATGTTAGACTGAAGCCAGGGGCGCTCTGGCCATAGGAGGCACCGGAACATTTCCTGGTGGCCTGATGGTCAATCTGGCCTGCCACCGTGAATTTGGCCTGACCTCCCCCCCACTGTACCGATCACTTCCCCCATACAGCCCTGCCCCCCACCCCCATCTCCCCCCGTGCTCTTCATTTACCCATCGATCAAAACCCACCCCCACCCGGCCTTTCACATACTGCCAACCAATAGCACAGTCCAGCGCCACCCCACTACACCAATTGCTCAAGTGATCTGATGCACAACAACAGGCAAAAATACTTTCCCAGTCCGCCCCTGACTCAAGCAAATAATATTAATTTACACTGACGGGGGGCAGAAGGGGGTGTCATGGAGTGGGAAGTATCATGGGAGTGTATGGGTATTTCCCAGCGATGGGTTGCAGCTGGAAGGGCATCTGCTGCTTGAAACATGTGCTGGATAAGTTGGCGGTTCATTTCGCTGAGGCGACCCCTGATTGATGGAGGGACTACGCCGAAAAGAGAATGAATAAATGAAAGGCAGAAGGTTGATGAAGAACTACTGAGAAATTTCAGCTACTGTCTGGGCTTTCCATGCCTTTCTACACCTTCCTTTCTTCATGTGTTCGTGAAAAAAATTTTTTTTTTTTGCCATCATTTTTATTTTATTACACATCATCATTTAATATGTAAGCTAGATAGATTTGTTTTCTTTTCATATATGTATTTCTTTGGTTGTTACCAACATCTGGTGGACATTTCAAGCCAACAGCACCTTCAGAAATATGTTTTCCGAGAAAAATGGTGACGTGTTCAATACTTATTTCCCCTCACTGCATGTCTTTCATTCAAAAACAGCACGAAAACCTGACGTGTTTGTCACAAAAGGTTACCTTGTGTGTGTTGCATTTGGGCCATTTGAATTATTAACAGTTTTTCCTCTGAAGTACCTTCAAACCGCAGACGAAAATAGCTCCTGCTTTTGGAAAGAGACTCGATCTCATGGATGCAATGTTTGGCTTTTTAGACCTAAAAGCCATTGCTTGTATTGAACTGGTAATTCTGTCACACACACACACACACACACACACACACACACACACACGCACACACACACACACACACACACACACAATCTGCATTCACAAGCAATTCCTCTTTCAGGCGGTGGTCTTGCGATCTGAGGCACTGGAATGGATCCCCCGTGTCTGAACAGAGTCTGGGTAATTTGTCATGTCTAAAACCATACGACAACATGAGCTAAAATACAGCTTTGAAAAATAATTTATTGCTTTTTTTTATTGATTTCTTTCATTTTTATTCACATTTTTCATATTCCATTATTACTTTCGAGTTATTGTGAGTAATGACAAGATTAGTATCTTTATTTTATACATCAAATACATCTTTTTTTTTTTCCTTCTTCTTTTTAAAAAATTCAGGAAATGAAAATTGTAAACTTTAGTTTGGCATTCACATAATCATAAAAGTGTGGAGCAAGGACACAGATTTTCTGTGGTACAACAAAATACCTGCAAAAATTATTCTTTTTATTGCTTCATGTAATAAAAAAAGAGATGAAAAAGGGAGGTGAAGGAGCTAGAAAAAGAAACGAATCACTCGAGAGCAGCAAAGTTCATCAAGAGCCTAAAATGTGATCATACGACATGTTATTTTTTTTGTCTTGTTCTATCTCTGAAGGCATATAAAAACGATATTTCTTTTACATTTACATCCTTTCCAGTGATTGTTGGTAATAAGAAATAATATAAATAGCAAAAATTTGTAAGGCGCATCACGTGAGATGGCTGCCATAAATATGTTTCGATTCAAATACTGAGATAAATACATAAATAAGCATGAGCAATTCTGTGTTAGAAGAGTAATCATCTCTGTGAACGCGTTTTTATCAAACAGGAACGATAACAATGATTGGTGTGCACAGAGAGGAATTAAATAAAAGCTCTCGATTTCCTGCAGACGTAAAGGATAATAAAAAAATATCTTGGGTTTTTCTTCTTTTCCTTTTTTTTTTCTTTACACAATAGTGAACATAAAACTCTTGAAAATCTATCTTACACTGCATGTATATAGGTAAAACACTGAGTTATTAACTTCTGAAAATCGGATCAAACTGCACATGGAGTTATCGAAACAAAACAGTGACCAAAAAGAAAACAACAATAATAAAAATAAGTAGCATGCTCCCCCAAAACAGAGCAATAAATCTCCACACACACACACACACACACACACACACACACACATATATATATATATATATTTTTTTTTACAATCAAAAATCACGTCATCTAAACGCCATGTAGGTTATACATCATCGTAATGACAACCCAAGCTCATTCTGAAAATGTACCGCTATATACGTTTCTGGAGAGCGCTAAATATGTCCCAGGAAGTACTTTTTTGTAGTTTTTGTTTTCGCGAATCTACCAGAGGCTGCTGTGTACACTATTTCGCAATTCACGGGCTGCTATTCTTGCGTAAAACCACCAGAGGCCGCTGACTGACCGTTCAACTGAAGGTTGAATTCTATTTTTGCGTCAAGCGCACACGTATGGTCCAGCGCAACCTTTGCGTGATCACATAGCCCTCGCCATGGCTGATGCCAACACTGACACATGTAGTTAAAAAAATTTAACTACAGGTCGCAACGACGCATAGCGCAAGTTCTGTAATTGGTCGGCTGGGTAGCTGTGACACCCGTTGAAGCAAGTGTTTAGAAGTGTTGAGTCCTGTGAAGGAGCCGCAGATGGAAAGATTTGTTTTGTGTTTACCTTATGATTAAAGTTGCTGCACGGTTCCCGCCTCTGAATGAGTGAGATTTAGCTACTTGTACATTAAGGTAGCATTCAGAAAAACTAAACACCCACGAAGAAACTTGATACATAGGAACATAACCTACTGCTACCTAGTGTTTCGGAAGTGTTATTGCAGTGCAACACAAACAGCACGCAGAAGTATAAATGCATGGCTACGTGGGTTATGGCAATCGCTCAACGCAGAAGTATAAACCAGCCTTTACCCACCCTCCTCATTCCCTAAACCCAACCAATAGTGTTTTCAAAAGCATTGACTGACCCACACACCACCTTCCCTAAACACAACCAATAGTGTTTTCAAAAGCACAGACTGGCCAGCACCCACCCATTTCGCTAAACCCAACCAATAGTGTTTTCATAAGCACAGATTGGCCAGCCCACCCACTTCCTTAAACCCAACTAACAGTGTTTTTAAAAGCACCGACTGGCCAGCGCCCACCCACTTTCCTAAACCCAACCAATAGTGTTTTCACGAGCACAGATTGACCCGCCCACCCACTTCCCTAAACCCAACCGACAGTGTTTTTAAAAGCACCGACTGGCCAGCGCCCACCCACTTTCCTAAACCCAACCAATAGTGTTTTCATAAGCACAGATTGACCCGCCCACCCACTTCCCTAAACCCAACCGACAGTGTTTTCAAAAGCACAGACTAGCCAGCGTCCACCCATTTATCTAAACCCAACCAATAGTGTTTTCACGAGCACAGATTGACCCGCCCACCCACTTCCCTAAACCCAACCGACAGTGTTTTTAAAAGCACCGACTGGCCAGCGCCCACCCACTTTCCTAAACCCAACCAATAGTGTTTTCATAAGCACAGATTGACCCGCCCACCCACTTCCCTAAACCCAACCGACAGTGTTTTCAAAAGCACAGACTAGCCAGCGTCCACCCATTTATCTAAACCCAACCAATAGTGTTTTCATGAGCACAGATTGACCCACCCACCCATTTCCCTAAACCCAACCGACAGTGTTTTTAAAAGCACCGACTGGCCAGCACCCACCCACTTTCCTTAACCCAACCAATAGTGTTTTCATGAGCACAGATTGACCCGCCCACCCACCCACTTCCCTGAACCCAACCGACAGTGTTTTTAAAAGGACAGACTGGCCAGCACCCACCCACTTTCATAAACCCAACCAATAGTGTTTTCATGAGCACAGATTGACCCGCCCACCCACTTCCCTGAACCCAACCGACAGTGTTTTTAAAAGCACCGACTGGCCAGCACCCACCCACTTTCCTAAACCCAACCAATAGTGTTTTCATAAGCACAGATTGACCCGCCCACCCAATTCCCTTAATTTAACAGACCGTTGTAAAAAGCAATCCAAAAAAAGAAAAGCATTTGCCTGATTTTTACCATGTTTTCAGATTTTACCACATTCTCACCCTGTTATTTACTTGTTTATTTTATTTTCTGGCTTTTGTTTCACCCAGTCGTCGTGGTCAACTCCTTTCTGCGTCTCAAGTCCACTGACATATGCAGCGAGCCACTGGACAAACTGGTAACAGCAGAAAAGCCGCCCATATGGAAATAAGCGGTCAGCGGGTATGCGTGAAAAGGAACGATGTCATACCGCCCCCTAGTGTTCGTTTTAAAGATGAAATCCAGCCATAAGCACTTCTGGCTACATAATTCGCAATCTCCAGAAACGTATATAGGGCTACGTTTTGAGATAGAGCCTATGTTGCGTAATGACTACAGATCGACATTCTGGATTAAGAAAATCTCCCTCTTAAAAAGGCTGCGTTTTACAGTGCATAGCTGTAACAAACAAAGAACTCTGATATGCACGTCAAAATAAAAAATATTCCTTTTTTTGTTGTTGTAAATAGCCGACTACATCCTCACTTTAGCAAAAAGTAGACGACGTTACCTTGAACATCCAAAGTGATTTCCCCCCAAACCCCTCCGCCAATAAACGTAACACCACATCCAAACACCAGATATTTTTTTAAAAAATCAAAGAGGAACAGAAAAAGCCCACAAAAATAAACTCCAAACCATAAAAACAGACTGAACGAGCTGCACTTTTTTTTTTTTTGTTCGTTTTTGTGTTTGTTCGCGGTGTGTGGATGAAGATCTCTTTCGGAGCCACGCTATCTGTGTAGTCCACTAAAAAGTAGAGTCGGCTACTTTAAGGTTGAGTCTCTCCTCCAGTTCAGCAGCTTATGTTCATGTAAACTTTGCTTGCAGATATACATATATATATATATATATATATCCCTTATGCGTAGAGCTTTTCTGTCCACATATACTCTCTCTTTCTCTCTGTGTGTCAAGAGTAAAGCGTCTGCAGTCTTGTATTGAAAGAACTGAAAGAACAGTGAGGTATTGCAGATCCCCCTGTCTGCATCCAGCCGGTACAGTGGTGTTCATTACCTTCTCAGGCTGTACTGGGCTTCTCGCAACAAGCTGTCGAAATCCATGGAGTCGTACTTGCTTTTAGTGGAGGCTGGATCAAAGTCGTCAGAGTGGGAATCTGAAAGGAGAAAGTGGAACAGTTGAACAGCTTGTGGAAATCAGGCACAAGTGCTTCTTTAAGAAAGGCGCTACCTTTCTGTGTTACTCTTTTTGTGAAAGCTTTTAATGGGAGCCTGTATCCTCCACATACTGTACATTTAACCCTTCTGCCACAGCTATGTCAACCTGCAGCTCAAGACCGGTCATTGAAGCTAAGCAGGGCTAAGCTTGGTCATTACCTGGATGGTAGACCACATGGTTAAACTAGGTTGCTACAGGAAGTAGTTTTAGTGAGGCCAGCTCAATCTGTGGTTTGTGTGTGTCCTAATGCTCCAGTATAACGAAGGGGACACCATACTGTCAATGAACGCTGTCTTTCGGATGACATGTTAAACTGAGGTCATGACTCTGTATAGTCATTAAAAATCCCATGGCACTTCTTGTAGAGTAGGGGTGTAACCAGCATCATAGCATACAGGCACGCAACGTGGAGAGGGGGGGCTTCACTTTGTACAATCATAAGCAACCCCAATTCACTTCTGAGGGGCCCCCGCCCTAACTCTTGCTGATGGGCCCACGCATTTTGCGCTATGTCATTGGATGTAACCATGGTGTCCTGGTCAAATTCTCTCCATCTGCCTTTATCATGGCCTCCTAATCATCCCCGTCTACCGAATTATCATTCCGCCTGTTACAGCCATGGTATGACAGCAAAGTTCCTTGATGACTACACCAGAATGAAAGTATAGTTCCTAGTGATATCAGCCTAGAAAATAATATATTTTGCTATCAACTCTAATTTTTTTATAGGGAAATTATTAAAACTTTGGACTTTTTTTGAGTGAGATGCTAATGGTCTCATCCAATTTGATGATTTATGCTAAGCTAAGCTAAACATGCTTCTGTCAGACCTGGAGATTGGCTGAATAGATTAAAAAATGGTAAAATTCAACTGTTTAATATATTAAATAAATAAACAAACGAACAAACAAACAAATAAAAAAATAAAATAAAATAAATAAAATAAATCAAATAAAAAATAAAATAAAATAAAATAAAATAAAATAAAATAAAATAAAATTAAATTAAATAAAATTAAATAAATAAATAAATAAATAAAAATAATAAAATAAAATAAATGGAGTGTTCCTATACTGGCTTATTTCCATATACAAAAACTTGAATACACCTTTTGCAATGAAGTATGCAATTTCTGTATTTAAAATTATTTTGGTAATATGTGAAGAAAGAAAGAAAGAAAGAAAGAAAGAAAGAAAGAAAGAAAGAAAGAAAGAAAATGTTAATTTAATAAAAAACAATACATTTTTGCAATAAAATATGCAGGCCAGCCAGTTATATATACAGTTATATTTAAAAAATAGTTTAAATTGAATAGCTTTAAACTAATATTTTTGCCTTCAACTGTATGTCAACAAATCCATCAATCTTCGTCCTCCATCTCAGTCTCTCCAGCAATATACTCATCCACTGTCTTAAACAGCCTCTTTTAATAATTAACCAGGAGCAACTTCTCCAAGACGAGACCCGAGAGATCATTAGACCTACAATTTGATTCTCGGATAGGATTACAAATACGTCTGTCTTTATCTGTCTTCCCAAACTCCACTCACAGCTGCCCCGCCGAAAAAAAAAAAAAAAAAGTCCTGAGAAATGGCGATGACCGTGGCATGCAGGAGATGCCAGTCGTGATCTAATACTATGGCTAAGGGGAGAACGGTGTCACGCCGCGCACCTTGAAGGATGAAAAATGCCCCTGTGCTCTACTTAGAACTAATGGACGGAAATAAACAAGGAGGCAAGAGAAAGGCAGGAGATGGAGAGGAAAGGCTCTGAAGATTCCGTGGTCTGGCATTACTCTAGTCACTTGGCTCTTTTCTCCCTCTTCATCTTAACCTGTCATAAAAAGGTTGAGACGAAGGTTGAGAGAACAGACAACTATTCTGGCATATGGTTTTATGCAGCAGATGCCCTTCCAGCTGCAGCCCAGTACTGGGAAACACCCAGTGCACACTTATGTTCACACGATTATACATTACGGCCAATTTAGTTTATTCAATTCACCAATAGTGCATTTGTTTGGACTGTGGAGGAAACCGGAGTACCCTTCTTAACCTTCTTAAATAATAAACAAAGTAAAGTAAAGTAAAGTAAAGTAAAGTAAAGTAAAAAAAGAAAAAAAAAAAAGAAAAAGAAAATAAAGGTTAAAATATTCATCTGTCCTTCTGAGATTCCCAAAGACAAGGACTCTGCCATCTGGGTCTTAACCAATGCTTCTGCGTTCACCTATGTAGAGAGTATTATGTCCACAAACTGGCCTTACACTGATCCTCTGAAATATTAGCTAATGTCCTCATTATTTGAGGGAACGTGCTCGTGTTCCTTTCCATTGACCTGCAGCTACATTAATGCCACTGAGATGGATCATCTCTTATAAAACTGATTCAGAAACAGTTTCATATTCATCCACAACGGTTATTTTTTTTTCACTAATATTTCTAAATGGCAGACCAACAGAATCCAACAGCATCCAGCTTGTATATATATGTACGTACGTAGGTAGGTAGGTAGGTAGGTAGCTGATAGATAGATAGATAGATAGATAGATAGATGATAGATAGATAGATAGATAGATAGATAGATAGATAGAGAGATAGATAGATAGATAGATAGATAGATAGATAGATAGATAGATAGATAGATAGATAGATAGATAGATAGATAGATAGATAGATAGATAGATAGATAGAGATAAAATGTAATGGTTTCCATTACAGACCATCAAATTTCAACCATTAAAACCAGTACATTTAAATAGTTTTTAATGGTGACATATTCCATTAGCATTTATTGGTTTTAACATGTGGCATGTTCAATATAAGGTAAAAGAATTACCAGAAGGTACCCAAAAGGACTCTTACGGCTTCCATTAAAACCAAAGCAATTTCCATTATAACCATTAAAACCATTCTACAAATTATTTGAGGGTTTCTGTTGTTTTATTCAACAGGGATGAGGGCCTTAACCAAAGTGTCTGGGTTCACCTTTGGCCCGAATATCTCTGGCCTTACCCTGATCCTCTGAAACACAAGCTAATGCCCTCATTATTTGAGGGAAAGTGCTCTTGTTCTTTGCTATTGACCTGCAGCTACATTATTGCCATTGAGATGGATCATAAGACATAAAAATAACCAATGCAAACCCAAAAGGACCATCATAGTTTCCATTAAAACCAAAATAATTTCCATTAAAACCTTTAAAAATGTTAAACATGCTAAAATAACAATAAAAAGTAATGACGATCAAATCTGAACTATTTAATCCAGCACATTTAAAGTGGTTTTTAACATGTTTTGGCACATGTTCCATTAAGATATAAGGGTTTTAACTTTAAGCCACCAATATTCAAAAAACCTTTACAATTTCTGGCTGCTGTTGTTTTATTCAACAGATATATGGGCCTTAACCAAAGCTTCTATACTGATAAAACTGATCCATAAACAGCTTCATATTATTTCACTAAAGTTAAGTATTTTCAATATTTTGACTAGAATTATTTGCTAGAGGTACCAGTCAGACCAACAGAATCCAGCTTGCACCAACATGGCAATATTAAACATGCTAAAACATTAATAAAGGGCAACGACAACACAATTTGAACTATTTAAACCAGCTTATTTTAATGGTGTTTAATGTGTTTTGGTACATATGCCATTAAGATATATATTGGTTTTAACATGCCACCAATATAAGACATAAAACTGACCAGTATAAAACCAAACAAGACACAATCTCATCACAAATTCAATTAAAACCAAAATAATTTCCATTATAGCCATTAAAACCCAGCAAAACCCAGCTTGGACCAAATGATTGAAACCATCTAATTTTAACCATTAGAATCAGTTCATTTGTATTGTTTTAATGTGTTTTGGGACGTATTTCATTAAGATATATTGGTTTTAACATGCCACCAATATACAGTACGACAAAATTATCAATAGAAATGGAAAAGAGGCTCTCCAGTTTCCAATAAAGCCAAAGTCATTTCCATCAAAACCATTCAACAATTTCTTTGATGGTTTCTGTTGTTTTATTCAACGGGCCATCAGTAAAGTAAAAGCCTTAACCAAAGCTTCTGTGATCACCTTTGGCCTGAATATCTCTGGCCTTACCCTGATCCTCTGAAACACAAGCTAATGCCCTCATTATTTGAGGGGAAAGTGCTCTTGTTCCTTTCCATTGACCCTCAGCACCATCAACGCCACACAGAGAGACGGATCATCCCAGCGTCCTCAGCATCACACGTCCCTGACCTCACATTCTGCACAAAATAAATGTGCATCCACTAAATATCGAAGGCCGTTTCATTTTTCCTATTATAACATCTTACATTGCATGAGATGCAAAGAGACGCTGCCCTTAGGATTCAATTACTTCTCCTCCTACAGTATCTCTGATTCCCTTCCCCCCTGCAAAAAAAGACACTTTCCCCCCCTTTGGCTGGAGATGATGATTGCCTATTACATCCACAATCCTATCAGGGGCATCATGGGGGGAAAAAGCCCCATAACGTTTTACAGAGGAATTTGTCACTGGTAGGATCCATCAATCTGATCTAGATTGTCACCTTGGTAATCCTGGACAGAGGGCATATAGTGCATATGAAAAGAAGGCATGGGTGTGTAAAAGCCTGAAGAAGAGGGTGAGGGGATGATTAAAGTCTGCTAAAATACATGCATCTGAATCTAAAAGAAAGGACTAGAGCTGTTTTAACAACATTTGTATATTATTATAGAAGTTATAAAGGCTTTGAATTAAATTGCTTTAGTTTTTATTCAAATTGTAGTTATTTTACTGCTTAATTATTAATTTTATTGTATTTTGTTTACTTTATACAGTTTTTTTATTTTTATTTTGCATATATATATATATATATATATATATATATATATATATATATATATATATATATATATATATATATATATATATATATATATATATATATATATATATATATATATATATATATATATATATATATATATATATATATATATATATATATATATATATATATATATA